TGGTACTCATTCTGTCTGTAACTCTTGACCTCGGTAGACAACACAATGTTGGCATTTTGGTGGCATTTTATAGCAACAACCTTCGTTGCGTCTGCAGACAACGCACTTATTCAACACTCTTTTCACTGATGCACGACCTTGTTAAATCAAGAATCGCTGCCTCGTTTTTGCTAGCGTTTGCGAAACACCACTATGTAGTAGTTCTTTATGCGTTTTTTCCACAATCAATTCAGTAAAATGATCGTTCTTAGGGAGAAGTATTAGTTGTCTGGCATCTTCATTTGAATTCGCATTTTCAAGCCTTCCAGTGCATCTTAAAAACCCTTGTTTGTCAAGAAATAGCCCTAATTGTTATTGTCTATTTGTACCTTTTTAGCTCAAATAGAATTGATGTCACTTTGAAGAAGAGTTTCTTGAATATGCTTAATCCACGTATTCTCAGCTTCTAACAATTCTCTACATTCTAAATAACCACATTTACTTTCAACTTTCCTAAGTCTTTGTATGAAACGCAACACAAAATCTGTTATACGCTTAGCAATAGAATAAGCATACATGGGCCATCGCTATCTTGATCAGAGGTTCTTGTGGTAAGGATCCATCCTAACTTAGACCTCAGAAGGAACAAACCAGGACTTAGTTCGATCATTGACACACAATAAAATCCACATAAGAGTCGTTACCAACTATTATCTCTATTGATGATGCTTCGTTTCTAGTTGGTAATGTATCAGCTAAATCAAAACTTCCAATAATGTGTTTAACATGCTTAACACTTGCTGAAACATCGATGCAAATTGCAACTTATTGTTGGAACTATGTTCTAACTGATTGAAAGGTATTTTGTGTTTTTTAGTTTAACATCAATGTTAACACATTTTGTTTTTATGCATTGCGTGCTATTATTACGAAACGTTACGAAAGTTTTATTTCCTGTTCTCCAGTTACTTCGAGATGTAACTTTCTTGCTAAGTTTTTAGTTATATATGTCCGATGAGATCCTGAGTCCAACAAATTCTAACAGACTGTGTTGCAGAAGTATATGGATTCTTAATATCTGTAACTGCCGTCTGCATCAGAACCATTTCATTTAATGACACGAGAACATTTTCCTCAGACTTTTCAGTCACTTGATATTCTGTTTCTTTGTTTGCTAAATGCGTCATTGTTTCCTTCACATTAAATGTTTGAGGACAAAAACTTCTGTGGTGCTTGTTCACTTCACCACAGTTTGTACAAATTTTGTTTGTCTTACATTCACTTGATTTGTGACATGTTTTTAAATACTTTTGAATAACTCCACTCCTCGATTGGGGTGAATTTGTATGATTTCTTGGCTGAGCTGAATGTGTATAACTTCTTGGTTGAGCTGAATTAGAAGCAACATTTTGCTTGTATCTTGATAATAGGCGATGAATGTATTTTCTTTTCAAACACATTATCTTTCTTTTCTGTTCTTTCTCTGGCAAGGATGTATTCATTCACTCCACTCGTTTGCGAACCTTGTCTATATTCCATTCATTGCTCGATCCATTTAATATGTCTAACTGAACAAATACTTCCTCTGGTAGTTTAGCTCGTATCATTGACACAAACACAGCTTGATCAATATCTTGATCAAACACTTCTAAAAACACGTAAATGCCTTTCAACTGTATCGAGCAGGCTTCTTATACTTCCGGTTTTATTCGATGCTGGCTCTAAATTAATTAATTTATTGTAATGTATGTCAACTACTTCTTATACTTTTCCAAATCTTTCCCTTAAAATATCGATTGCAATTTTGTAATTAGCGTCCGATAACGTAAGACCAGATATCGCACTTTGAGCATCTCCGAAGACTTAATTTCGTAAATAATTGAATTTTTCACTGTTTGAAAGTTATTTATGTTCATGCACTGAACATTAAAAGAATCTCAGAATTCACTCCATTTTGTCTTATCTCCTCCAAATGATATTAAATCTAGTTTAGGTAATTTTTGTAGACAAATGTTTACCTTTGTTTACTTCAATGCTGTCAGGAGAAATGTCTGCCTTGATGTTATTTAATCTAAGGAAAGATTCAGTTATAAATACTAGAAGCAATTTCCAAGATATGGGGGGCTGGGCAGCACCGCCTGACATGAAAGTGAAATATTCTCAGTTGGAAAACTAGCATGTAATTGTTTAGTTAACACCATTTTTAAGGTATTTTATCTTTTTCTTTCTTAAATCAATATATGCATTTACACAACAAACTCTGACTATTATTTACACCCAAAACAAAGAACTCTGATCATTATTTACACCAAAAAAACAAACACACATCATTTATCAACCACTTATACGAAATATCTTTTCACGTATACGTTTTTTATACGAAACAATACTAGACACCTGGCGAGCCCAAGCTCTAAACAACTTATGATCAAATAAAACAATAAAATCACCACAAAATGAAGAACACATAAATGACTATATTTACAACTCTAAGATGCAGTATAAACCACAAACATTCATTCAACAAAATTAACGTCACACAATCTAATCAGCATCAGAAAAGCAAACTAAAGCACCCAATAATTACATATATCCTCAAAACAAAGCATCAACTAATATAATCTTGATCAGACAAACATTCAACCAATATCAACCAATGATATCTTCACAAACAGATATAACTCAACAACCAAAACAACTAATTACAACCAATAAACCCTGATCATTTAAGATCACCACAATTATATTATCAACCACTTCAACAAATCAACAAAAATCCCTTCAAAACAACAAAATTCTCTTCTCAATAAAAAAATAACCGCTACACGCTATCAGCGTGTCTCTCCTAACTGATGTAAAATCTCTCTCAAAACGCGCATATTTGCTAGCTTAAACGATTTGACCTTTACATGTAGATATATTTCATACTCCCAGCAACAGGTTTATAAATGAAACTGTACATTAAAATCTGATACACTTCAGTGTATCGCTGACTCGTAAAAAAAAACTATCTACAGTGAAACTGTATGATTATTCTGACAGCCCCCTACTCAAGAAAACACTCCACTGTTTTCAAACAAAATGAATAATCTTTAATGTCTCTTTTCAGGTATCGATTCTATTTAGGTAATCTGCACATACGTTGTCCTTTCCTTTCACAGCTACTATTCTAAACTTATAGTTCTGTAGAAATAATGCCCATCTCATTATGCGGCCACTTTCAACTTTACATTTCTGAATATACGTTAAAGGAGCATGATCTGTATGCAGCTCAAATTCTTTCCCGTACAAATATTTGTTGAATTTCTTTATTCCAAATACCATTGCAAGACATTCCCTTTCGATAACCGAGTAGTTTCTTTCTCTGTTCAGCAATTTCTTACTCGCGTAAGCTATTGGAAGCAGACCATCATCAAACTGTTGAAGAAGTGCAGCCACAACTCCGGAATCTGAGGCATCACTTTGCAAACCAAATGACTTTGAAAAGTCTGGAAGTCGTAGTATTGGTGATCGTGTCAATACTTGCTTCAATGTCGTAAAGGCTTTTTCATGTTCTGGTTTCCATATGATTTTATTTGGCTGTCCTTTCTTCGTAAGATCTGTCAAGGGTGTAGCAATTTCTGCAAATGAAGCAATGAATTTTCGGTAGTATCCAGCTAGACCAAGAAATGATCTCAGTTGCTTCTTTGAATATGGTTGCATAGCGTCTCTAATTTTGACTAATTTGTCATCTTCCATTTGCATTTGTCCTTTCCCAACAACATGACCGGTAAATGGTACACTTTCAAATCCAATCATACATTTAGAAGGTTTAACTGTGATCTTTGCTTCTCGTATTCTTTCAAACAACTGTCTCAACATCTTCATAATGTCTCTCCCATGTAACCGTATGCCCAAGCACATTGTCAACATAGTTATCAGTATCATTCACTCCGGAAAGCAACTTCTGCATCATTCTATTAAATGTTGCACCAGAATTGACCAATCCAAATGGCATCTTTCTGAATTGGTAACTACCGTTTGTTGTAGAAAATGCTGTTAGATGCTTGATTTTACTTCAATTGGTATTTGCCAAAACCCTTTGGTCAAATCAATCTTTGTGAAGAACTTATCTTCTTTGAGCTTTTCCATCACATCCTCAACATTACCCATTGGTTCTGTATCAAACTTTGTTACAGAGTTGAGTCGTCTGAAGTCAATACAAAAGCGGTTTGTATTATCCTTTTTCCACACCAAAACAATTGGAGAATTATAATCAGAATTAGCTGGTTCAATGATACCACATTCAAGCATTTTCTTAATTTCATCCTCTACCGCTGTCCTTTTTGCATATGGTATCGTATATTGTCTAACACGAATTGGTGTTTTGTCAGTCAACTCAATTTTGTGAAATTCAAGATCTGTAGTTCCAGGAACGTCAGTAAAAATATCCCCATGTTCTTGAAGCAACGCATTTACTTCTGATTTTTGTTCCAGTGTTAATTGATCATTAACATTAACATCTCTGTACGTCTCTTCACCCTGTGTGTCTACTAGTTCTAAAAGATTTTCATCATCAACTACCCCGGTATCATCATTATTTTCGGCTTCTATTACAGCTACACTCGCACAAATTCTATCTTCGCGTTCTTCGTATTTCTTCAGAAGATTTATGTGGTACATTCCAATTCTATCACATACGTTCACTTTGTAGTCAGACTTGTTAACTGCTTCACTTACAAAAAAATGGACCTTTCCATTGTAACATTAGTTTATTGTGTGTTGACGGCAGGAGCAATAAAACTTTGTCTCCTTTCTTAAGCCTTCTTGGTCGTGTTTTTTTATATCATAATGATGTTTATACTCTTCTTGTGAGTGCTGAGATTCTCTCTAGCAATCTTGCATGTTTGTTCTAATCTATTTCTCAAATCTAGGACGTACTCATACGTATTACGTGTATCTGGTACTTCTGTCTCTGTCCATAATTCTTTTAGTGCTTGCATGGGACCTCTAACAGTTCTTCCATATAAAAGTTCAAATGGTTAGAACCCGGTACTTGACTGAGGGACTTCTCTGTATGCAAAAAGAACCGCAGACAAATATCTATCCCAATCCTTAGGTCTTTCTTGGCACATTTTCCTCAACATGCTATTTAAAATACCATTCATTCTATCACAAAAACCATTACATTTTGGATTGTAAGGGGTAGTAAACAACTGTTTCAGTGATACAAGTCTAAACACTTCTTCCATAAGTTGTGACGTGAACTGACTACCCCTATCACTAAGTATTTCCGATGGGAAACCTACTCTTGCAAAAATATCTAACAATGCTTCAGCTATATTTTCAGTCTCGATTCTTGGTAAAGCAACAGCTTCTGGATAACGTGTAGCATAATCAACTACAGTTAATATGTACCTATTTCCCTTTTCCGATACAGGCGTTATTGGCCCTATCAAATCAACCGCAATTCTCTGGAACGGAGTGTCAATAATAGGCATTTCACCTAAAGGAGCTTTCTGAAGTCTACCCCTGGGCACCGTCTTCTGACAAATATCACAGGAACAGCAAAATCTAGTTATATCACTAGAAATACCTGGCCAGTGAAAACTAAACTGTATCCTGTCTAAATTCTTGCGTACAGACAAATGCCCACCCACTATAGATTCATGAGCTAATGACATAACTCTTTTGTGATATTTACTAGGAACAACTATTTGTCTTGTTTCAGACTTCAAATCACCTTTCACCGTCTCAAATATTCTATACAACACATCTTTTTCTACTTCATATCTAAATTTGTTACCACTTTTTGTTTTCATGATCTTATTTTCCCTAGCATACTTCCACAAACGCTGTAACGTATTGTCATTTGATTGTTTTTTCTTCAAAACATCTACCGTTATTTCGTTATCTTCGACCTTCGGAACTTTAAGAGGTTTCATTGCTTTCTTCTCTTTTTCTACCTGTGCTCTAGTAACAACAGCAGCTATGTTTGTTACTTCTCGGCCAACCCACTTCTCATTTGGCTTATCAAGTACACCCTGAATATTGCCCAAGACTAAGTCACAAATTGCTGACTCTAAAACCATAGCTTCTATTTTACCCTTATAATAAGGTGTATCAATGTCTATTTTTGCCATAGGTACCAACCTGGCTCGACCATCTATTGCTATCATGACACAATTTTTATTCAGCATTTGCTCTTCTTCCACTAACGTCTTTCTTACTACTGCTAACTCGCAACCAGTGTCTCTAAGAACGTTCACCTCTTGATTACCAACATATCCTAGTTTCAGATCCAATTGACGTTCACCTTCTAATGATTCATTCAATTGTACAGCTACTTGTAATGACAGGCACAGAATTACCATTTGCTAATTTAAGTTTCCGCTCTTCAATACAGCCATCGTAAGAACTTGCTGGAGAAATTGACATAGATAACCCCGATACTTTCTTATCATCTGATCTACCATCACGTCTATTTTCTCCAGGCCTACTACGCCAGTTCCTTGGTGAAGAATCCCGATTTGTTTTAAAGTAATTTCTATTTTGCTCTCCATATGACATTGCAGCAGCCCCATATCTCTTCTTAGTCTGATCTCGACAATCTCTGGCCACATGACCCTCTCTATTACATATGAAGCACGTTACTTTTCTGTTTTCTCTGTGAAAGTGCTGTATTTGTTTCGATAGATTACCTTGATTAAGGCGTATTGGTGATTTATTTGACAAACTGGCAACTTTTGAGCTTTTGCTATTTGTAATCGTACCGCCATGAGCCTCTAGGTATTGTTTAGCCAAAGAGATGACATCTCTACGATTCTTTGGCTTTCGTTCCTTAAGAAAAAGAGCTAACTCTGTTGAACAAACTTTGACAAATTGCTCTCTAATAATAAGGTCTTTAAATTTATCTACTGTATCCGCAGCATCGGCCATTTCTGTCCATCTACTGAAGTACCTATCTAATCGAGCCATAAATTGGTTTACAGTCTCCCCTTGTTCCGGCTTACTCTCTCTAAATTTCGTTCTGAAACCGTCTTCTGTTAATTGGTATCTTTTCAAAACTGCTGTTTTTAATTCTTGATAGTCTGATGCTTGCTCAGGAGGCATACTAGTGTAAACTTCAAGACCTTTCCCCGTTAATAACGAACTTAAGCTTATTGCCCATGTATCTTCTTTCCATCATCCTTGACTAATGGAGAACCTTTCAACACGCTCTATATAAGCATCTATGTCATCTTTTTACTCTTTAAATTTTGGCAATCTTGGCCTCAAACCGGTGTTAGCTGGGGTATCAAGGCGATCCCCAGCCTCAATTTTTTACTTTATCAATTCTATTTCTTGCTCTTTCATTTTCATCTCTACTTCAACATGGAATAAACGTTTCTTTTCCTCACGTTCGGCTTATTTTTCTAGACGCTCTGCCTCAAAACGCCGTCGCTCTTCCTCACGTTCAGCTTCTTTTTCTAAACGCTATGCCTCAAATCGCCGTTTATCTTCTTCACGTCTAATATTTCTTTCTTCTCTTTCAAGATATTCTGATTCTTTCTTATGAACATAATCACGTAAATCCCCGTCCTTCAACCCAAGCCTCTCTCCCAATTATACCCATTTCTCATAATCCATAATTGCTTAATAATGGATTACTATTCAATAGAATAATCAACTTCTACGAAACCAGTAAAGAAAACACTTATTACTCAACACAAATGGTGTACCTCTGTAGCGCCGACAATTTTTTTTCCAAATCTAATCTCTATATAAGACGGCATATACCTGGCACCGGCAATGACTTTGTATTAATAGTATATACCAGGGCACCGATAATAATCTTCTCGTAGTGTTTAACAACTACGAAAACTTTATGACAACAACCAACTGAGCACCGGCGGCAAAAACTATCTCTTCAACTATTACATACACTTTTATGAATAATCACCCACTGGACACCCGTTATAAACTTTTATCAGTTACTGATGTTTATAACTTCAACAAATTATAAGTTTTATCTTTATCATCGATATAAACTTATTAACACAATGATTCAAACTATCAAAACAAATGTCTCCCCAAAACCACTTTATTCTATCACCGTATAAACAGTTTTCAACAAAGGGTGCTCTCCTGCTAAAACGCAATAAATTCTTCAGTATACATAAACTTTAAACACAGTTCGTCACCGCTTCTCTACATATAAACCTTTATTTAAACTCTATTGTACAGAGAGTTTACTTGTATATAAAACTACATGCAGGTTTATCGATTTTCGCCTAACAGCTTTTTCACTGCTACATTTTACCAACAGATTGAAAATGATTTAAGGTTTAACAAACAAAATTTTGCCAGGAAAGATTCCGGACGAGCCCCCAAATTGTCAGGAGAAATGTCTGCCTTGATGTTATTAAATCTAAGGAGAGATTCAGTAAAAAAATACTAAAAGCAATTTCCAAGATATTGGGGCTGGGCAGCACTGCCTGACATGAAAGTGAAATATTCTCAGTTGGAAAACTAGCATGTAATTGTTTAGTTTACACTATTTTTAGGTATTTTATCTTTTTTTTTATCTTAAATCAATATATACATTTACACAACAAACTCTGACTATTATTTACACCCAAAACAAAGAACTCTGATCATTATTTACACCAAACAAAACAAACACACATCATTTATCAACCACTTATACGAAATATCTTTTCACGTATACGTTTTTTATACGAAACAATACTAGACACCTGGCGAGCCCAAACTCTAAACAACTTATGATGTTATCAGATCGTTTCCAAAATCAATATTTTTCTGCAGAATATTTCTAAATCTTGTCCTGACACCCTTTAAATGTTTAACACTAGTCATTTTTAGTTTTAACGTGTGTAACACTTACCTAATAAAATTTATCTTAATCACAAATATTATTAAGAACACTCTTCTTCATTTATTTTATCCACCTATTGTCATCCGGTTTGCGGGACCAAACAATGTGGCGATTTTTTATACTTTCAGTTTAGGACTATAGCTTACAATTTCTTTGCCACATTGGAGTTTGCTTTAAGTAAAACACAATGCCTTCTTGCTAACTTTCTCTAACTTTCTCTATTTAATAAATCCAATTATTTCTATTTTATTTTACAGGCAATATTCCTGCATAGTTGTAACATGTATTTTTCTCTAAACTAAAAACTAAACTAAACTCAACTCAACTGCCGGTTCCCAATTTTATTACCTGTATCGTATAATAAACATATAAATAGCATGCAACTCGTGATACATGAAATACCATGTATCGACTCCGACGAATTCTGACGGAGTTTTTTCAGGTTCCGACGGAGTCTTGACTCAGCCGGTCATCAACTGACTCCGACAACTTTATTGTATATGTACACTCGCTATTTCCGACAGTAACGAAAGTATCAACCATTGATTCCATTTATTAAAAGAAAATACATATGGTAAGTAAAATACAAAGAATATTTTTATCAAAAATGAAATTATGTTTTTTTTTCAATGATACAAATAAATATTTACTTACCTTTATAGCGATGAACTAAAGTAAACTTGAAATATAACCAGGCAAAATCATCAAACACGCTCGATGATACTCATTGTTTGGAAATGGCGCTCGTAAGAAAACAAAACGTCATAATGTTAATGACGTCATTTCCTATTCAACCAATCAATACATTATAAAAAAGCTATGCTATGCGTTATGTGTTTAATAATAATCACTAAGGTATCAGTAACGAATGTATCAAAATAAGTCGCTACTCTAGAAAATGAGCAGTTGATTTAATGTAATGTAATTAGCTTTTGAATTGTTATAATTTTTTCTTGCTTCATCACCTGTTAATGAGTTAAAAACATTTATTGATATCATTATGTTATCATTGTATTTATGGTGGTATCGAATGTATTATCTTGTTTATAACTTACTTATATCATAATGTTTCGACGCATGAACTTCATATTTTTACATTATTCATCAGTATCCTTTCATTTATTGTATAAACTGTATAACTTCCTGAAACTGAAGAAAACAATTCGTGAAGCATTGGGTAGTCTTGATAAGCATTTGATTCATTGGTAACGAATGTATCAATGTAGGTGTGACATCAAAACAGTATGCAAAATAATCGATAAATTATGTTGATAGTTGATACGCAACATGCATGAAACGTTATAAAGTTATATAATACTAATAATATAACACGATCACATAAAGTTACTTTTAAATATCTGTGTACATCATTTAAAAGTCTTAAAAACAAATTGCGACAGGTAAATAAAGTATCATTTCTATAATTTGATTTGAATTGTGAAAAATATAAACGCTCAAATGTTACAATAACTGTTAAATAACTGATGATCATCAAGTTGATAAGTATCTGAGCAAATGTTTTTGTTTTGTTTTGAATTTGGCATAAAATAATGAATTTAATGTGACATGCATAGAATCTCATTATTGAGAAGCAGCGACCGTCCCACGTTCTGATTGGCTGCACAAAATGACTACCAGAGCTATAAATAGAAAAATGTCGTCCGACTTTCAGAGGTCAAACTGCTGGTGGGATTAAAGTACCATTCCTACTTGTGCATATCGCCGGCACGTTCAGCTATGCTGCACAAAATGTCCACCAGAGCTATATATTAAAACAATCTTGTCTGGCAAGGTCAGTTTAACTTTTAAGAAAATATTGTCAGAAAAGGTTTTTGTCCAAGTATGAAAATTCCCCATTGATTTATTACAATGTTACAGCCTATTTTAGCAAAACTCAGTGAAAATAAAATAATTTGACCTAAAATTTCAAGGTCATACATGAATCAAGGTCAATTTAAGTTAAATATACATGATGGTCCTAACCTTAAAGGTGCTGTTTCTTAATATGAAATTAATCCATTTATAAATAACAAAGGTATAGCCAGTTACAGCAAAACATAATTTTATTGATTTAACATTGACAGTCAAATTCAATTAAAAAGGTCGCATCTTAATTATTAAATATGTTTGTTTGGAAGAGAGTCTTGTTATATTCAAGTTTTAATAAAATCAGTACATAAATAACAAAATAATGACAATTTAACCAAAGTTCAATAAATTTACCTCGACGGTCAAGGTCATTTTAAACTCAATGTCTGTTTGACCTTTAAGAAGGTCTTGCCAAAAAGGTTGTTTGCTAAGGTATGAAGATAATATCAATTAGCAAGGTAGAGTCAATTTTAGTAAAAATCAGTGGAAATTCAATAATTTAACCTTCAAAGTCAAAGTCATAAATGAGCCAAAATCAATTTGAGAGTAAAAACATGAAAATGTCATCCCAAAAAAGGTCTGATATTAAATTACATCAACACATTCAATAATTACAGAGTTATAGTCTGTAACAGGTGTAAGAAGAATATAATAAATTGACCTCCAAGGTCAAGATCATTTATGAGTGAATGTCAAGGTATTTCTGGTAAACCTGAAGGTCTATTCTTCAAGATTATTATGTTCATGTTTAGACACAATCAATAAAAAATAACAAAGTTAAAGCCACCAATGGCAAACATCAGCAAAAAGAGAGCAAACTTTAGATATTTGACATTAAATTTCCATGTTTAAAGCAATAATAATAAAAAAGATCATCTATTAGAGAAAGTTTATATAAAACATTAAGTACAAAACTCTATGACAGTATGAGAAAATATGATATACATGCAGTATACTTACATTCATATTTCAGACATATTTCATATCCATATTAAAGTTTTTAGCAACATCCAAACTATTTTATCCCAAGGGTTAAATATTAATCTTTTTTATCTTTTGTTTAAAAACTTTAAAAACATTTGCATATAATATTTGCACAGTTAGTACTTTTTACATATCAAATATGATATGATATAACAATTACAATTTAGAAAAAGGTATCATAGCTGTAATAAACTATTATAACATAATTTTAATCACAATAAGTATATTTAAACATGTCTGACAATATCAAAAGTTTGTTGTAAAGCGTTTAGAAGAATAGGAGTAACATGTATATTTCCTATGGACCAGGTATAGTTTCATATTTTGAAGTATTGGCACGTTGGTTCCTCATCATATTAGCTTTGTCTATACTAAAGCCACT